CATCTCTGACTGGGAAGTCTTCTGGTTTGAACACTCCTGTACATTTCTCTTCTCCGGGGGCATGTTTCCACACCACAGTGAGTCCTGGTTTCCTCTAAGCAGAGTTAGATTTGTGGGTCGTCTTGTTCCATGAGTCTGTGTTGGCATGTGTTTCATGGTGTGTGCCCATCACTTCCCTACCCATAGCTCCTGCTGCTTATGTAGCCATGTTTTAGAATAAGTGGTTCTGTTGTCTCTTATCCCCAGATGCTCTGAACCACATGAAAACCAAGTTGTGATCTGACCCTTTCCCACTTTATCCCTTATTTTACTCTAGCATCTACATTTTAGACAAAACATATGACCCTTGACTTTCTGGGTCTGTCTTATTTCACTTAGTATGACGGTCTCCAGGTCCATCTCTTTACCAGCAAGTGCGTAATTTAATTCTTCTTTATGGCTGAGCAAAACTCTATTCTGAGCATATATCACACTTTCTTTGTTCATTCATCTATTGGCGAGTAACTGGGCTGGTTCCATAACTTGGCTGTTGTGAATTGTGCTGCTATGAACATTGATGTGCTTGTATCACTACAGTATGCGGATTTGAGTTCATTTGGATACATTTTGAGGAATGAGAAAACTTGATCACGTGGTAATTCCCCTCTCAGTCTTTTGAAGAATCTCCATATTGCTTTGAAAAGTGAGTGCACTAATTTACGGTCCCACCAACAACGTGTGCGTGTAACTTTTTCTCCAAATCCTCGCCAGCACTGATTATTTGTGTTCAGGATGATTGTCCTTCTAACCAGAGTGAGAGGGAATCTCCGTGCAGGTTTGGTTTGCATTTCCCAGATTGCTAGGGATGTTGAACATTTTCTAATATTTGTTGGCCTTTTATATTTCCTCTTCTGAGAAGTATCTGTTTAGTTCTTTTGCCCACTTATTGATTGTTTTTTTTTTAAATGTTAAGCTTCTTGAATTCTTTTTATATTCTAGATATTGATCTCCTGTCAGAGGAGTAGTGGGCAAAGATTTTTTTCCTGTTCTGTAGGGTCTCTCCCTTGCTCTTGATCATTTCCTTTGCTGTGCAGAAGCTTTTCAGTTTGATGCCATCCCACTTAACTAATTCAAAGGGAAGGTCAGTGGAGTAGAAGAAGGAAATAGAAGGGGAGGAAGGAGGGATAGGAGAGGGGAAGAAATGCAGAATGAATTTGATAAAATCACACGATGTGCATGTATAACTATACCTCGGTGGATTCCATCTTTATGTATATTCATAAAACACCAGTTAAAAAATAGATAAACATAAGGAAGACCAATAGAATAGAGGAAGGGGAACAGGGGGAAAGAAGAAGGGAGGAAACGAGGAGACCCTGGGGACCGACATGGAGCCAATTAAATTCCATGCATGTATGATTATATCAAAATGAACCCAACTACTGTGTATAACTATAGTGTACTTATAGAAAGAAAGAAAGAAAGAAAGGAAGGAAGAAAGAAAGAAAGAAAGAAAGAAAGGAAGAAAGAAAGAAAGAAAGAAAGAAAGAAAGGAGAGAGGAAGGGAGGGAGGGAGGGAGGAAGGAAAGAAAGAGAACAGAGGTTGTACTGGCGTGGAGAGAGCTTGTGGCAGTGGTCCCTGGATAGGGCAGAGCAGACATGGATTAACACTGTTTCCCTAGGGTCTCTCGAGCATCCTGGAGGTCAGACAACAATCCAGGCAGAGAGGTTGCTACAGACACTGGGATCCTGGAAGGTCCCCGCTTGGCAGCCTGCACAGTGTGAATGGAGGAATACATTCAGGGTCCCCGCAGGGTCCCAGGCCTCTCTTGGCTTTCACCTTTGCCTGTTAACTTGTGCACAGGTTGGTCAACAGTGAGGTTGTTTTCTTGGCCTTTCTGTGGCTCGTCAATTTCTAGGACCTCTCCGGTTTCTGGCTGGTCTGCTTACTGCCTTGAGTAGAGTTCCCACTCCAGTGTGGAGCTGCAGGTCTCTGCTGCCAGCCCTAGGAACTCCCACTTCCCACATGGAACTCTCCCTGCAGCTTCTGCAGCCTGAGCATCGGGCAGGGCCGAGAGCCTCAGGCAGGTGTGCCCATGTTCCACGGCTTCAGCCAGATGCAGTGGCTCTTTGCTAAGAGGGACGGCTTCTCATTTTGTTATCATTTTTTTTTTCCTTTTTTAGTACCTTGAAATGGTTGCTTTTGAACAATTTTGTCCAGTTTTCTACTTGCTCTCTATTAAAGGGACCTCATGCTGCTTTTCCTGGAAGTTGTCTTCCAATGCATCTGGGAAAACCAGACAAATGAATTTAAGTTCTCATATATGAGCACTTATTGTTTTTACAAAAATAAATAAATAAGTTCAGTTTTTCTTGGTAGAGTGTCACCATTACAGAGTTATTTTCTTGACTGCCTACAAGGACTAGCTGTTCATTTCCCCCTTTGTTTTGTGGAATGTTCCAGACTGATATATCTCTGTCTCCCCAAGAGGTTTTTTGTTCTGTTTTGTTTTTGTTTTTCTTTTAGCAGCTGTGGAATTTTGAAGTGTTTGTTCATTGTGAAATCATGCTGGCCAGATTAGGTTAATTCCTTTGAGATAATCTGCAAATGAAAAATTACACTGTGCTCTTTTAAAGCCAATTGTAGAAATGGAGTATTGCTTTCCATGTGCCTGGTTTCTTACCCATCCTTTTCCCTCAGCTCATAGGTTTTCTACGTATTTTGTATTCTTTTGCCTTTGTCCTAACAGTGTGGCTTCATTTTTCTAAATTCTAAGATATCTTAACTCCCTTTTTCAATATGATCAGGAATATATAAAAATTGAGAATTCCATATGCAACAGTTCTCTCATTTTCTTCTAAAATCCTTGCACATTTAAGTTAAAAGCACATTTATTATACAGGACAATTGAAAGTTATTGAATAACCTGCATTATGCTTTCTACAGCTTATACAAAAATCTCAAGGGAATAATTTAAAAGAACCAAATTAAAAACAAACAAACAACAACAACAACAAAAACCCCTTAAACTTGTGTTTCTCAGTCTTTTAAAATTCAAGGTCCCTTTAAAATGCTCTGTGTGTTGATGTTAAAAATGTATTAAAAACCTTGCCTTGAGTATACCTTAGTTCTTCTGTTTAATACCTTAGTTCTTCTTTGAACCCCAGTGGAGGCAAAGGTTAAGAGTTTCAATATCCACTAGAACACACTCTGCCTGTATTTTAATTTAAAATTGTAATTAGATGCTCTGAGGGAAAAGATAGCTAATATGACTTAGGAGCACCAAAATCCCCAATGCAACATGGGTATGTTATGGAAGGGGGGCTAAGAATCCATCTCCTTCCCTGCATAAGAGAACTGTCAGATGATTAAATCTATAGTCATCTGTTACCACAGCCAAAGGTAAGGACACCATCTCAGACTAAGCCCTGATCAATTTGTCATCCTGAAACTTTAAGAGCATTACAATTAGTTTGCCTGGTTTAATAGAAGTAAAAATAGAATAAGCATTATTATTGAAGTTCTGGTCTTCAGAAGTAACTTGCAGGGTGGTTTTGAGGGAAGAAATAAAGCTACCATAGTTCTACCTTCACTAGGGATATTTGTGCTAATTGCTAAGTAGTCTTCTTTATTTTTAAGGATGTATTTTGACATATTATATATACATGGAGTGCAACCCATTCCCATTAGGATCCCATTCTTGTGGTTGCACATATGTGGAGTTACATGGGTCACATATTCATACATATGCCCAATTCATTCTATAGTCTTAAAGGATCCAATCACTTATCAGACGTTCTTTGCTTCCTTTTATCCAAACTTCTTAAATTGTTGTCCTTCTGGAGCTCCAGCAAGTTTTCATTATGACACAAAATGGTGGCAGGTCCACCCCTTCCCTCTCTAGCCGGGCACTCCTTGGCTCCACCCCGCTCCTCCCAGTGCTCACTTTTCCCTATCTCTGAATTCTTCACCAATTCTCTTTTCTTGTCCTGTTGGGATTTCTTAAAGGAGCCAGGCTCTTGAACTTTTGGATGACAACAACAACAACAACAACGACAACAAATCTTCCTTCCCACTTTTGAATAGTGGATGTGCAGCATAGAATTTCAGAAGTTCGTGTCCACACAGACATAGCGGTCTCCCAGTGTTTGTTTTTAAACATCTCAGCTATTCAAAAACTCTCTTGAGAAAAAGCAGAGGAAATAGCCCTCCACGCAGGAATCCACAGAGTTTTCAACAAGCACAACTTGGATGTGTCCTTGCTTAGACAGCTGCAACTGAAGAGCTCAGCAGCTGTTGTTCACATTTTGCAAAAAGAATCCAGTCAATTCTGATACTGGATGGCCACTAGTCATGGCTCTGGCCATTGTGCAAACATTGGCCAAGAGGCCTTTGGTTCAGGGCACAGGTCTGAAAATAAGTAGCTCTGGGAACTTTCTGGTTTCCCCTTCTCTCTTTCTCTGGCCCAGTTCTCTAGGTCGAGACAATCATCTCATGGTGAGTTGGTCTTGCCCATCTCCAAGTCAGAAGGGGGACTGGATGATGTGGTTTCCTGCCCTCTGTCACTCCACCTCTTTCCCACTCTGCCTTGCCTCTCCTATTATCCTCTGCAGTCACTTGCCGTGTCGTGACCCACCTTTTAGAACTCAGGTTCAAGGAAACTTTCTCTTGAACTTTTCTCTGCTTTGAGCTTTATATTCACTACTAGGAAGAGCTAAGAGCCCATGGTCTGCTTTGCTCTCACTTTGGTCTTGTGCAATTGTGTTGGCAATGCGTTTACCATATTCTGTTTTCATTCTGTATGCACAGGATTATCAAGAAGCTTTGGAGTCAGGCAGACTTAGATTCAAATTCCAGCTCTGCCAACTATATGATCCTAGACGAAGTACTCGAACTCTTTATGACATAGATTCTGCACCTGTAAAGTGGTAATAATCATCTTTTTGATGTAAGAATCCCCTTGGAAGATCCGTCACTCAGAGTTCTCTTTCCTAGTCTTCTGTTCAACATCATTCTTGAAACTCTAGCTTCTGGATAATGTCTTTTTTTTTTTTCATATTCTTGTGGCTGTGTCAATGCTTGACACGTGAGGGGGTCATAGTATACATTTATTAAAAAAATCATTAAGTCCCGTCCATGGTATATAACATGGTCCATCTCTTGAGAAAAGTGAACTGCTCATGTCAGCTTTGTTCTATCATCTGATTTGCTGAATTTTCTACTTGAAATTGAATTCTCCTGTTTGTTTTTTTTTTTTTCTGGAGCCCGGAAACTTACAGATTTTAACTAGAAGGATCAGTCACCATGGTTCAATTATCCATAGACCTTGGGTCAAACAACATTCAGGTAATTTTTAGCCATGTAGCTTATTTTTGATGCTGAGAGCCATAGCCAAGTAGGAATGACGCATGGCATTTTGGTTTGAAAGGTGACCCTGCTCAGGGATTAGGGCGGCTCCAGGTTTAGGGTGGATCCTGCTGGGAATAGGGCAGCTCTAGGATTAGGGCATATCCTGCTGCCTCAGGCACCCACTCCTTTAGAGTTCCCGTTGAGTTCTCCCGGGGTTCTGAGAGTATTGGTACGCAGAGCCTGGTGGAGGGAGTGTATTTTCCAGAACGTTCGTGTAGAGTGCCGGTGAGAGTTGGGGAATAAAGAGTTGCTGTTGGAATCTACAAGGCTTTTGTGGTGGCTCGGTTATTTTGTGCCCAGCCAGACTGCGGCAAGGGTGGTTTCACTGTGTTTGTCTCTCACTTGCCCTTTCAGTTTTTCTTCACTGTGTTGGATACTGACTGGACCATTTACTGAGCATCCGTCATGCACTGGCAACTGAGACCATGAAGACAAACATGGTCCATAACCCGAAAAGCGACAGTCCAGTGGAGGAGAAATTTTAGCCACCAATAATAACATTTTGAAAAATCAAATGAATAAATGACTGAAGCTTATGTCTATCATGATTTTGATATCATGTAAAATATTATTGCCTTTTAATTTTTATTGACACCTAATGATAGATACATGGCTCTCATTTTTAATAATTGTTTATAGGTCTTTCTAATGATATGGTAGGTGGGATTCAACCTTCTCAGTGCACCTGAGCCATTCTTTGTTCTTAACAAATTGAAGAAAGTTGTACTAATCAAAACATACTGCATTTTTACTCGTTAGTCCTAAAAGGGTTGGGGAGGGGGACAAAGAATCTAGTGGTTCTCAAATATCACAGGAATCAGAATTATATGGAGGGCTTGTTGAGGGCAGATGGCTGGGTTTTACCTCCAGAGTTACTAGCTCAAGAGGATTGAAATGAACCTCTAGAACTGGCATTTCCAGCAAGTTTTCCTATATGGTGATGACATTGGTACATAGATTACACTTGGAGAACCACTGCTTTGAGGAGAGCTGTAGAGAGTGAAGGCATCATACATTTTTCAGGTGAGTTCAAGAGCAATTTGAACTCACACATGGAGGAGGGGGAGGAAACAAAGCACAGAGGAGTTTTTAATTCCCAGGGTCCCCTGAGTCACCCATCTTATCAAGAGACTTACTCCAAAATATATTGCTGCCTTAAGTACTTAATTAGGTACCTTTTCCAAGAATATTCTAACAAAGAAATGTATGGTTTATTCAAGAAAAAAAATGAATTATGACATGAATTTTAAATTTTTTCACACTCTTGATGAAAGCCCCACTGGTGTAAAAACCACGTCCTCTCTAGCACGGTAATACATGCAGAGTAAGCAATCCTCAGTACCAACAATGAATCACTCCGTGGAGTGAGGTGGAACTGACTCCGAAACATGTCTCGAAAGAGGGATTCCAAGCCACATCTTTCTATGTAACAGAAAATAAACTAGAGAGGTAAACTTAAGCCCCCCAAATAGAAATTTGAAACCTCTCTGTTAATTGTCTGTTTTTATACATGAATTGGGGGGTAGTCACAGAAGGTCATTAGAATTGGTTTGTAATCAATGTATTTGAAAGATGAGGGATAATAATGAGGCCAATAGCCAAAGCACTAGTCTAAGTTCTGGTATAGCAGAATACTCTAAAGTGATTACATCCAGTATCTACCCCGTTACCAGTTCATCATCTGCATTAGAAATTATTTTAATAGAATTTCAATGAAATTTGTAAATGGTAGGCCACTGAGTCAAGAGAGAAAAATCACATGAAGTACACAAAATAACAAACACATTTTAAAATATATATATATATATATGATATTTATTTTTCATTTTTTACCTATTTGATCACTTGCTCTGTTATTACATTTATCAGCTTTCTGAAATTGAGTGACAAATATTCATGGAAGATCAATTATAATCCAGGTACCTCTGAGGCCTATATATGAAAATACCATGAAAACGGGACTCGGTTGGTTTACAGAAATAAAAAGTGCCATCTATTCCTAATGGCCGGTGTTTGGTTTGGCAGAGTGTGTCTGGGTCGTAGTGCTGCCAATGGGTGTATTAAGTACATTGATATCAGATACTATGACCAATGATGCTGTGTGACTTTTAGCCATAACAAACATACTGAAATCTACTTCAAAAAGTAAATTTTTATGACGATATCAGTTTTTTAAAGTATCATAAATATTCAGAGAGTAAATACATGGAATCCTTACTCTGAGTTAGAAAAGTGTATTTTAAGATTTTTGACTCAAAAATATGAAAGAAAGTCTGTTTATCATACTTAGAAACTTAGTTGCATCAAAGTAAGCTTATTTATTTAGCATTCTACAGGAAAATGGAGGCAGAGCAGCCTTCGGAGGTGCAGAGGCTGGGGCAGGAGGCGGCTCAGACAGGCCATCCATCATGTCCCTGCAGCTACACTGGCTGCTCCTCTCCCTACATGAAGAGCCATCTCAGAGTTTATAATGTAGTTTCCATGAATATGACATTGATGCTACCAAAATAAATGTCTTTAAAAAGCAACCGCAGGCTTCCACGGGAACATAGAGTACTCCTGGCCTAAGGTTCTTCCTGTGGGAGAAGCTTCCAGTTCACTGAAGGATCAAGTTCATCATCAAAAACATCCAGCTCCTGCTCCTTGGAGAGCTCCAGGAAAACCTGAAAGGGAGGGGCGAACCCAGAGAGGCACCTGTCACTCTGCCTCCTGCGGCTCTGAGGGAGGGCAGAGCAGGCACATCTCACACACTCAGGTTCCACAGATGGTGCAAATCCCGGAATGGTACCCACCTGCTCCAGGGTGGACTGGGAGAGGCTGTACTCCTCCAGGTGGAAGCTCTGTTTGACTGTGGGAGGATGGACAAACATTATCGGATCATGTATTTTTATATCTAGATGGCCTCGTAAGTCAACGTGTAGTACATATAATACGTTGTTTTTTTTGACAATTTCAATTTTTGGTGAAGATAATATTTATTCATGACTTAAACACATCATCCAGTTAAAAACAAACTAAGAGGTTTACTTAGATTTTGGGGGAAATAATGGCTCTTGTTAGGCTTATATGCTGTGCAGTTCTTGAAATCTGGATTTAAGGGAGCACATGAGGCTGATAAGGCTTTCTTCCTGGCATGGGAGCCGGTGTTTTTGCTCATCCAACACAGGAAGATGCGGAAGGAAGACACATTTTGAAAAAGGTCACCTCTGATTATACAGAATATCTGAGGTTTCCTAGGGAGTGGCTGTGTACAGGGGGCTCTTTCTAAAAGCCACTGCAGCGACCCCTTAGTTAGACTGAAAACCCTTCTTTTTGACCAAAATAGATGGTGAAGGGCAGTTAGAGTTTGGATAGGAGCCCAGCAGAATGAAAATATGCTGGTTCAAGTTTGAGACATGTACTGGGGTTGGTGCCAATCTAGGGAGTGCAGGAAATGACCACATGGCCTGGAAGGTTGGGTGCTCAGAGAATGGAAAGAAGATTGTCAGCATGAGTGCAGATGCTATCAACAGGAGTCACAGGGTCTTCTAGAACCAGGAGATCAAATTCTCTTCCTTAGGGCAGGTGACAACTGTGTGAAGATATCACGGAGCAGTGACAATTAAAACAGTACAGAGTGGAGTTCTAACCAGCACCGCTTCGGGTTGCAGAGTGCAAGGGCTAAAATGGCAAGGAGAACGTGACCCTCTAATAACACATGGGGTGTGGTCAGATGAAGTGCAATAGACCCAAGAAGATTGGTTCAGTGGCCAGACGGAGCCAGTTTCTTCATATACTGGCCAAGGCAATAAATCAATATACCAACTGATAGAAAATTGAATTTTAAGTATATAGGCATGTTCCAATAGAAAGCATTTTCTTTAAATGTACAAATAATTAAGTTTGGACTTATGCAAAAACACATGGAAAGAAAGCCCCGAAAAGCAAAGATAAAAATCACTTCCAACATTCTCTGCCACACACAGATTCTGGTGTTCCTAAAATTCAATTTGAGGTTTCAATTTTTAAATTTAATGCATTAGGTCACATTTCATTTTTCACAGGGATAGATTGTATGTAATTCAGAGGTATCTTCTTTTCAGGGTCTTATTTCAAAGTCACGGTACTTACGCTTCTCTAATTTGAAGAAAGCCTGGGCTAAGGGTTTCACGTCCTCCACTGGTAACTTATAAACCATCAAAGAAGAGTACCTGAGAGGAGAGGAGAGACCACTCACGGCGAGTGTCAACTACCTGTCAACATTGCTCTGGTCTTTCTACCTTTTATAAACATGGTTAAGAATGGTTAATGTTGAGACCCTGCCTTAAAATAAAACAAAACAAAAAGCATTTGGGAGGTAGCTCAGTGGTAAAGTATCTCTGGTTTCAATCCCTAGTGCCAAAAAAAAAAAAAAAAGTTTAATGTCATATTAGATGGTATCAGGTTGAACAGCTGATCTTTAGAGTTTCTTCATCTTATTTAACTGAAAATTTATTCCTGTAACTAGCAGCTCCTCATTCCCCTACCAGCTCTGTCCCTGGAAACAACCCTTCCTCTTTGGGATTTTATAAACTTGACTATTTGAGCTACCTCATAAGTGGAATCATGCAGAATTTGTCTTTATGTGACTGGCTTATTTTATTTAGCAGAAAGTCCTCAAGGTTCATCCATGTTGTTATGTATTGCAGAATTTCCTTCTTTTTAAAAGTGGAATAGTATTCCATTGTTGGTATAAAATATAACAGTTTTTTAAGAATCTGTTCATCTGTTAGTGGACACATAAGTTGTTCTCATGTCTTAGCTATTAAAAAACAGTGCTGCTTCAGTGCAACCACTCTGGAAAAAGTATGGAGATTCCTCAGAAAACTTGGAATGGAACCAGCATTTGACCCAGTTATTTCACTCCTCAGCATACCCCCAAAGGACTTAAAGTCAGCATATTAGAGTGATGCAGCCACATCAATATTTATAGCAGCTCAATTCAAAACAGCTAAGCTATGGAACCAACCCAGGTGCCCTTCAACAGATGAATGGACAAATAAAATGTGATATATATATATATACACAATGGAATATTTCTCAGCAATAAAGAAGAAAGAAATTGTGGTATTTGCTGGTAAATGGATGGAACTGGATATTATCATGATAAGTGAAATAAGCCAAATGAAAGGCCAAATGTTCTCTGATATGTGGATGCTAACACACAATCAGGAGGAGGGGAGAATAGAAGGTCATTAGATTAGACAAAAGGGAATGAAGGGAAGGGAGCAGAGATGGGATTAGGAAAGACAGTAGAATGAATTGGACATAACTTTCCTTTGTTCATATATGGATAACAAACAGTGAAACTCCACATCATGTACAACCACAAGAATGCGGAGTTGCACTCCATATATGTATAATATGTCAAAATACATTCTACTGTCACATATAACTAAAAAAAACAAATAAACAAATTTAAAAACAGTGCTACTTCAATGAAGATGGGAGTTCAGATCTTTCTTTGAGATCTTGATTTTATTTTTGAGTATATATACCTCAAAGTGAGATTGTTGGGTCATATGATTATGGTAGCGCTCTCTCTCTCTCTCTCTCTCTCTCTCTCTCTCTCTCTCTCTCTCTCTCCTTCCTT